TTTTCCAATGAGCCATTTAGGGTGCTTCACTAATTTACTATTCATTTTTCTCTAGACTGTAAGTACTATGACAGCAGGTGTTGCTTGTCTTGTGTTTAGTAATGACCCAGTGTCTTGTTTCTGGGTTGAGGCTCTATATTATGTTTGAAGATTGGGTAAGTAAGTGTTATACTGTGCTCTTACTATGTGTATTTACTTCTATTTCCTTATTTTTTCCCCCAAAAGCATCGCATGATAGCATTGCCCATCAAGTAAAAAGCTTTAATCATGATACTTCCTAGCCTAAAAATCATTCTTAAATATGAAGGAAACATTATTTTCTTCAGTACTGAACAAATCTGGACCTATTTTATATGTGGTTTTCAGGGGAGTTCACTGTGCCACATCCGGTTAAAAATCTAAAATTATATTTGGTCCTAAATTCTGCATTAGAAAGAAAAACTGATAATACAGTTTTGAAGCAGAAAAACCTTAAGTATTATATTTAAATGGCTTCAACTTCTTTACCATATATCACATTGAATTAGTTTTGTTTTCCAAGTTTCATTTATGTTTTTTTTTTTTTCTGTTCATCCATGTTTTAAAAAAAATTTACCCTTCCAAAGGTAGAGCCTAATTCTCCTTGCCAGAGTATGGTTTGTACTTCTTATCCCACTATTAAGAAGTACAATTTTAGAGAAGACATCATGCTACCAGGTCCTCCATGGAATTATCTGTCTCTGTCTCTGTCTCTGTCTCTGTCTCTGTCTCTGTCTCTCTGTCTCTCTCCTCTCTTGTTATATCATCTGTTCTAGGTAAGCACGCTGTCAAGTTTTAAGACAAGGAGTCTTAAAGTGAAGCCCATGCATGGAAGGAATTAAGCCCTCTGGACCCACTGTTCCCAGGGGACCTCTAGTCCAACTGTGGCCTTCATAGGCTCCAGCCCCAGCTAATGTCTTCACTAACTCATGAGGGACCTACAGTCAAAACCACTTGAATACATCTTTTTCTGAATTTCTGACATGTCATAATTTTGAAATAGTAAAACTATTTAAAAAGAAATACTACTTAAGCCAAAGCCTAAATACCATTTATTATTTTAAATTGGTAAGTTTGATGATAATTTGTTGGGAAGCAATAGAAAACTAATAAAAGGATAGAGGGGCAGAATGGAAATATGAACAAGTATAATTGGAGATTTCAACATTTATCTCTTGGCATTTACAGAACAAAGGACAAATAAATAAATATAAAAAATATTATGAGCAACATGACTTAACGGAACTTTGCAGAACACGTCACCTAAGGAGGGCAAAATATCACTGTTTTCAAGTGAATATGGAGCATGCATACATGTAGATCATATGCTGGAAAAAAAAACATTCCAGAAGTTTTCACATACTGAAATCATGTGCAGTATATTCTCTGGTCATAAGTTAATTAGCAATGAAGAATAATACAATATCTAATGAAACTTTAAGAATAGATATTAGCATTGCAATTTACAATAACACATCTGTCAAAACAAAACAACAAAAGAAATTTTAAAGAAGATTTTGAATTGAATGAAAAATTTTAAAATCCAAACTTATTGAGGTACATAAGGCTCTACTTAGAAATTCATAACTTTACTATGTATATAACATAGAAGTTACAATTGTTTCAATTTCTACCATAAGAAACTGAAAGAAAATGTGAGGTAATGTCAAAATATGCAGGAGGAAGGAAAATTTTAGAATTCAAAAGAAATTGATGAAACAATAAAGGTAGACAAAATGGAAAATGGACAAACAATAAAAAATCCAAACTCTACGTTTATACATTAAAGAAATCAATAAAAGTTATAAGTCTTTATTTAGACTGGTATAAAATAGAGAATACAAGTTACGAAGGTCAGGAAAAAAAATCATTATTAAGCAATACATACATTAAAATCTAATAAACATACATTAAAATCTAATAAATATTATGAATAAATGTTTGCCAATAAATTTGAAAATGAACAAAATAAATGTATTTCTTAAGAGAAGTCATCAAAATTTCCTAGTAACAATAGAGAAATCTGAATTATTTGAAATCTAATGAAAACGCTTAATTTGAATCTGGTAATGGAAATCCTTTAAAAAAGAAACCTACAGATCCATATAATTTTATTAATTAGGTCTATCAAACATTTAGAGAAGAAGTAAAGACACTTTGAAATATTTAGGAGGACTGAGTTCCTACTAATTACGTTCGTGCAGTTATAGTTATAGTTTGACACCAAAACCAGATAAAAAAAATTATTATAGAATTGTATCTGTCATAATCTCAGGCATAAAATTTTTTCAAAAGAACAGTGTAATTTAAGTACACTGTTGTTAAGTAACTTTGTTATACAAATAATTGTATACATTGAATGCAAATAATCTGATAGGTTTATGAGTATTAAAATCATTGCTCCAATCAAGTAATAAATACACCCCCTCACCTCTGGGTGATGTGTGTTTGTATTGTGTAGGGATGTGTGTGTGTGTGCATGTGCATATTAGTGTGTAGTGTAGGTGTGCTTGTGGGTATGCATGTGTGTATACTTGTGTGTGCATGTGCATAGTAAGAACATTGAACCATGAGTTTACATTTTTAAAAAAATCAGTGCACAATACAGCATTGTTGACTGTTGGACACAAAAACACTTACCAAATATTAGCAAACTGAAACCAGCAACCCTAACATAAAAGGATAATAAATCCTCACTAATTGGAGTGTGCACCAGAGCTGTAAAACTGATTTAACATTTGAAAAATCAGTCGACATAATTCAACATGTTTATGAAAGAAAGCAAATTATGTTTATTTAAATAGATGCAGAAAATGCATTTGGCATAATTTAATACTCTTCAGTCACAAAAGCTTTTAGCAAAACTCTAAGCAGGAGAAAAAAATCTTTCTCTCCGCAGGCTGAGTCTGGACTGGAAGCCTCAGCCACAGTCAGATGGTGGAAGGTGAGTGCGTGGTGGCCTTTCCACTGTGATCAGAAATGGGGCAAAAAACACCCTTCACCCTTCTATTTGAGTTTTTAGTACAGTTCTTTGTCAGAGCTTAGTAGCAAGAAAATAGTAAAAGCATAAGACTAAAAAAGCAGGGCTGAGATATTTTTATGTAGCATGATCTGTACCTAGAAAAGCCTAAGGATCAACATCTGAGCTAGTTGCAATGATTTAATAGTTTTTTAAATGATGCAATGTATATGACCAAAATCAACCGTAGTATTAGTAATATAGGTGTTAAAGTATAAAATTCTACTTACAGTAGCATTCAAAAAATGAAACATTTGAAGTTAAATTTTAGAAAATGTGTTCAAGGCATGTACATGGAAAACTATAAGATGCTGCACAGATTATTAAAGATGGAATGTATGCAGATATTCTGTGTTTGTGGTATGGGAGTTTCAGTATCACTAAGATATCAAGTCTCCCAAAATTAAGCTATTAATTAAAAATAGACCCAAATGTGATCCACTGACTTTTGAAAAAGAAGCCAAGGCAATTAGTGAGGAAATATCTTTTCAAACAAATGATGCCAACATGGAGGGATATTTGTATGCAGAAAAAATAAATTCCTTACCTAACACTTCACAACCAAAACCAAAATTTACTCGAAATATATCATAAATGCTAAGACTATAAAATCTCTAGGATAGACAGTATGGAAGGTTGAATTTTGGCCCATGATTCTTTGTCAATCCTATTTAAGTTTACTATCCCTTTTATTTTACTGAAAAGAAATTCATACATACTGTTATAAGTTCAGCATATTTTTAAAAAACTCAAGGTATCTTATGTACAAAAATTAAATTGAGTGGGCAAAATGAAACAGAAGTCTGAATACAACCATAATTAATTAATGGGATTTGAATATTATCCTGTGGATTCAAACACCATGTGCAACTTTCCCCCCTGTAATATGTTTTCCTCAATGGTATATAAGCCTTGGTGATGCCCAAAAACTATCATTCAAACAAACAAAATACCCCAATTATTTCCTTTAATTATACAGTATATGAAACTTAGACAATTAAAAATAATTAACAAAAAGTATTTTCTATGCTAACACTTAAGTTACGTTTAAATTATCATGCAAGTTATTTTTTTTTTTAAATTTCCATGAAGTCCAGTGGCCCATTCAGAAGTGCAAGAGGGACAATTTACGGTGTAGGATTACCCTGTCCATGGGGCACATGGCACCTGACCCTGGTAGGTGTAACCCCATCAGTCCCCACCTCGTCCTTGAGGAATAAGCAGAAAGCCTGGTTTCATAACTTTATGAGACCCAGCTGTCTAGGCAATAGGAACAAATAAAAACACCAAACCAAAACAAAAAACACCCTGTTAAGGGTCTGTCATTTGAACGGAAGTGCAAAAAAAAATACCAAATTTATTTCTAACGAGCCAAAGGGAAGAAACCAAGACTGGACAAGGTGAAAAAGTTTCAGAAGCTTGTCTGTATCTTCAATAATATCTGCAGGTTAAATGGAAAGCCTTCCTCTTAGGCCTTTTGCTAAGGAGAAACAGACGTGGGGAGCATGGTGGGGACCTGAACCTGCGCGCCCCAGGTTGCCTCACTGAGCAGTGCTGGGGATGAAGTCCTCTGCTCCATGGACAGCGTCCCTAGGGTCACCTTCGCAGCGCTGGGGTCTCCCCATCACCTTGGCCTTGGAGACTTGGTTCACAGGGACTCGCTGTGGCTGCAGCAATACCCCAGGACTTGCTCAGGAGCCTGACTTTCTGCCTGCCTGCATTTTCCACAAGTAATGTTTTCCATGTGTAAGGAGTTTCCAGACCCCCGAGGGGCTTGCATATCAGTGATCCCATTAATTTGAGAGAAGTGCCGCTAGGTAAGGCTCAGCAATGATCCCGCCGGGTCTGCAGCAAGGGCTTTCTGCGGGGGACCCTTTAAAGGCCCTGGCCCTAGAAGGGGGCGTGGAGGAGTGTCCTCTTTCGCTCCCCACCCTGGGCTGTCTCCTCCCCTTCCCCGCAGCTGCTGATCTCCGGGCTCTTAAGCCAGGGGGCAGGGGACGCGCCGCAGCGACTCCTTAGGCTCTTGAGAGTGGACTGGCCCCGCCACCACGATGCCCGGAGCTGCAGGGGTCCTACTGCTCCTGCTGCTCTCCGGGGATCTCGGGGGCGCTCAGGGGCCGGGGTCCCTACAGCGGAGGCAGCCCCAGGCACACCAGCAAAGAGGTAAGTCGAGTCACAGGCTTTGGATGGCATCCTTGCCGGGCCGCGGTTCTTGGGTCCCTTGGGCAGAGTCTCTCTGGCTGCGCCCTCGGGCAGTGCGCGCCTGGAGAGGCTGAAGGATGCCAGTACAAGGTCAGATGCCAGCAAACCCCGACTTCCAGGCAAAGGGACCTAGCCCCGTGCCTTGCTTATTCCTTTTGGAGAGGTCTGTAATCCTGCAAGTTGATCTACAGAATCTTTCCAGGAGGCAAACTTTTCCAGTCGTGAAAAAAGAGAGGAAAAGAAAGTTTTCTCCAATCCAGTTCATTTCTGCAGTGAATGCTTGGCTTCTGCCAGCTGGTAGTTCCTCTTGAACTCTGTGGAGGACAGCGAATGTGGCTCATCCTTCACCTTAAACTGAAGCGATTTGATTCCTAGTTATGCAGGAAGGGTTTGTAAAGGGGTGAAGTGTGTGGACTTTTCACTTACGTGAAAGTGAGAGGTCTGTAGCCTCCTCTTTTCCAGACTTACATCCTCTGTCATCCCTGTAGACTTTTTTTTCTGTATTGAACTTTCTTCTCTTGGTTGAATACAGAAAAGACTTCTATGTCTTGCATATTTTAGAAGCGTGGTGACCAGAGAGAGGCTGGCTTTTGGTGGGGGAGGAGCCTTTGGAGAACAGTTATGTTTAATCTAATTGAAATTATTCTCATGAGAGGATCTTAATGTTTATGTGCATATCATTTCTGAATCTCTCGGGAGTCTTTGGAGGGACATTTATCATGGAGTTTAAAAGAAACATATCTGCAACTTTTGAAAACAAAATTTATAACATTATTTCAACAAACATTTCCTTAAGCTGAGAACCCGAACTAAAAAAAATCACTTAAGAAAAATGAAAGATTTGATTCAACCATCAAAATAGCTAACAGTACACACTCTGGAAATTAGAAACTTTGGAAAATTTTGATGAAACTCAATCTGCTGAAGTTTTGAAATATCCTCACCCTTTCCTAATTAACTGGAATAAAGCCAGGTCTAGTAATTCGATGGTTGTTCTTCTAAACTAGCATGGTTAGCAGTATTACTTTTTTAAAGGCGTAAAAAGATATCCTAAGTGTCTTGCTATAATAAGTCCTTGGTTATGATTCCTAGAATAAAAGTGACCTTTAGTTCACCGTCTAACTTTTTTTCTTCTATTTTAGTTTTATCTTCACTGAGAGATAAATGGGGCTTAAATAATAGAACTTTCCCCCAACAACTTTTATTAATGAATATTGATGGACAGGTTAATGGTTTTTATTTTGCTGATTTGTACACGCATGTGACATACTGTAATCATCCCCATTACCATCCTCTCCTCATCCCCTGTCCCCTTTCTCTTTGAGTTTCGGGGGGTTCAATGTGTATTATGTCTTTCGGCTGAATTTTTGAGGCAATGATTTTGAGTGTATCTTTGGCAGCTGATTTTTAAAATGCTACCTTTAGCTATTAATTTTTGCTCAGTTATGCGACCCACTTAATAATGCACAGTACTTTCACACTGCGAGGCAGCTGGGGGAGCAGAGGGGCTGGTACCCCACCCCTGCTGTCCATGTGGAATTGGCAGCAGCTTGAAGCAGGCAGAGCGAGAGCCAGAGCGGTGCTGGAGATTTCCTGCAGTCTCCCTCCCTTCTTTCCTCCCCTTTATTTTTCTCTTAATAGTTGAGTTAAAAATAACTGTGATTTCTGTGGGCCAGGCACACAGAAGGGAGAATGTACAGTGAACACAGCAGGCAGGGCTTATGATATCGTTCTGTTAAGAGATCACTTGGCCATTAATTATCTAGTGAGGTGTCTTAAGCAAAATAACCACGACACCAAGTGTACTACTATACACTGAGCTGTTATGTATTCTAGTATTGATTTCATGATAGACTGTTTTCTGTATATTTGAAGGCTGGCTCCAGGATATAATGGCTGAAATTTGTTAATAATAAAAGCATATACAAAATATATTTGTGATTCCCTAATTTGTAAAATGTTTTATAATGTAAAAGTGCTTTATATACAAAGTCTATTTTTTATTCTCAATTATTATGCTGATAAGACATTTAAAAACTGAGGCTCATGTAGCTGTGACTTAAATGCCTGTAACTGATACTAATAACTTAAGTTTCAGCAACTAAAACCACTTCTGGTACTGTTTATACTGGCAATTCCTTCTTTATGGCTCCAAGATTTCTTTCCATTAATTATTCGAGTTCATGTTTTCTTTTCAATGTTCTTAGGCTGAAGCAAGCTTTCAGAGAGGCTCACTGGTTGCAAATTTGAAAAGAAATGTTTTCTTTGCTATCACCAATGTTTCATTTTCTGTTGATCTTCCTGCACATTGGTCTTCCTAGCCAAGCACTAACTGTGCAGTTCAGCTCCCTGTAAAACTTTGTGCCAGTTGATGAAGGGCGGCGATGTGAAACCAATCGTTTACAAATATAATTGAGCTACAATCTTAGATTTTTGTTTCTTTGTTTGCTTTTAACTTTATTCTTCAAAATTTTCTGTGGCTTCTATAGCATACTGAACTGTAATACGAATGACATTGGCTTAAGTGTGATATTCCAAAGAAATCTTTTATCTAAATTTAGGATCAATGAAACAGGAGAACTATATAGCCAAAATGGTTGTAGACTTGAGCAAAGCAATGGATAACATCTTTACCAGCATTTTTGTAAGTAATATGTGGAAGCAGAAGTGTAACATTACATAAACTGCTACTGAGTAAAACAGATTCCAAAGAACATTGTGTAGTGGATCGAGCTAAATCTGGAGAGAATTCTTGACTAGTATGACCTATTATGGTAATTAGCTGATTGAAAGCATAAACTCTTAAATCCATCAAAACTTCCAGCAGTCCAGAGCACATTCTGAACTAATTGTGGCTAAGCTGGCAAATTAATTTTAGCAATCACAGAGATCTTCATAGCCCAGACCATGAATGGAACCTACCTGGGGTTGGTTTAATTATTCATATCCAGATGTTAAATAATTTCCTTTTTAGGAAATTTGTTATATTCCTTACATGTACAGAAATGAGTACAAAGATGTGATGAGAAAGGTCAATCTGAGATGGAAAAAAATCAGTATAAAAATATAGTGTAACCTGAGGATGGAGGGGTTGCTTTCATTCACAGCTCACAGGAGAATACAGACCTGGTCAGCACACTTGGATTCTTCACTGACAAAGAGGTTTAAATTTGAAGGAAAGAGAGCAGAATTGCTGCGTCTAAAAAGATTTTTTGGAGTTAGAATGTTCTGCATAACACTTTTTGAAATGAAAAAGGAAATTTTTAGGGGAAAAAACAGGAGATCTCTTCAGATTTTTAAAAGAATTATTACATGAAAGAGGGGTTAAAATGTCCTTTCTGAAGATTGGACCAGGATCTAGAGACGAATGTCACAAAGAGAAAGGTTTGAGTTTGATGGAGTTGAAAACCTGGCCCCTCCTCCCAGTTTGAGTGATTCAGCAGTAACTGGGCTGTTTGTGTTGGGCTCCACCACTGAAATGCTCATGCAGTGATCAGGTGTAGGACAGCCAGCAGTGACTGGAGCACAGGGTTTACTGAGAGAGAGATCTGAGGTGCAGTAAGCCTCCACTTTTCAAGCCAACAATCAAGGTGGTAATCTACTGGCTTTGCAGTGCATCCTTGCATGTAAACCTCTGAATTCTTAAGAATGTCAAGAAAACGTTAAAGGTATTTCACTGTGTTTTTAGATGGCTTCTGGAATTTAAAATAACAGAAAAAACATGTTTGGGATGATTCTCCCACATTTTTGGCAAGAACATTTAAATATTTAGTGAGGAATTCCCACATCACCATCCACTCCATGATCCTAAAACTTCCTGTATTATAACATAAGAAAACAATTTATAAATTAAGAAAATTTCAGAGGACTCATTGTGGGTATAAACCTGGAATTATTATTTTTTATTCTTTCTTTGCTGTATTTGTGACTCGTTAGCCCATAAGGTACATATTAGCCTAATAATTTAGTAAACTATCGTAATGTATGACTGAGAAGAATTGTTCCACACTGACTGTCATAGATGTGATAGAATTAATAAAATTGTTATAAATGTAACATTTCACATCTCAGTATTACAAATTTCTATTTTGTTTTTAAGAATTTTCTATCTTAGGATTTTATAAACAATAGTGAACCAAATCTGTCTCAAGATTGGTGGGCATTATAAAAAATTTGCTTATGATTTTCCATTCTTCAATTCTCTTCAGTTTCTTTAGCTTTTGAAATGTTGGACAAGTGTCATCTGAACTACAATAAATATTCATCTTATGCTGATATAGTCATTTAAAACTGAAATCGGTATCTTAACCGTTCTAGCCAAACAGCACTATTGTAAGGAAAAGTGATAATATATTTTATGGGAGATAATATATTTTATGATAATCTATTAAATGATACTATATTACATGATTAAATATTTTACAATAATATATTAAATAATAATACATTTATGCTAAAGATTTTTTGAATTAGTAATATTCGTTATTCTTACATCTTTTCACTTGTTAAAAAAGTTTGCTTTTTGGTACATTTCATGCTTAACTACTTCTTCGGTCCCTATTAAGCTAAAGCAGAACATTGTGCCTCACTCTTAGCCCATTTATACATTTTGAAAATACCGATTATTCATGGACAGTGACTAATGTGGTAGACATTTCAATTTGGACTTCTGAGATCAAAGCACTGTTTCTTTTGATCCAAATAGTTTCAGCAAGAACTATTAATACTTAAACTTAATATCAGGGCTCACATTATTCACAGTGTGTTTTAGGGCTGTGGGACCACAAATGTGGCTATGGTGCCAGTCGTCAACTGGTAGGACACTCTTGGGATGCTTACCTAGCAGGTGCAAAGTCCTGAGTTCAGTTTGAGTATTATAAGTGGGTGGATTGATAACTTGTATCCATAGCATGAAACTAATCTCAAATTTAGTCTACGTGAAACAGGATTAGTGGAGTGGC